ACCTCTAGCCTGAACCCCAGTTCTTGTATGCATAAATAAATAAATATTTAAAAAAAATTAACATTTAGTGGCTCAAAAACCACTTAAAATATGTCATTATATTAATATATTATTACATATTAATATACAAACATAACATTACATATGTTATCAGAAAGTTAATATATAATTTATACTTACTATGTATAAAGTAGTTTCTTTTTTTTTTTAAGATTTATTTTTTATTTATACAATAGCTGGGGTACAGGCCAGAGGTGCTGGAGGGTGAAAGGATTCACCAGAGACAGAGTGGGGGGCAGAACATGCAGATGGACTGAAGGCACTGCTGAGGGGAGCAGCGGCGGGCGCGACAGGAGAGGTCTGCCACGCCATGTGTGAATCTCCCTGGCCTGCCAGAAATCGAACCCGCACATCAGAGACTTTGGACAGCTTCACAGCACTGTGCTCAACTCACTGAGCCACCGGGGAGGCCCTGTATAAAGTAGTTTCTAAGCAACTTAATATATTAGCAAATATACTTATTTCTTATGTAACTTAAACATATAGGCTTATTCTAAGTTACAATTTTTGTCATAAGTTCTTCTATCTCTCATTAATTGTTTTTCAGAAGTATTTCAAAGTTCCCAAACTGAAAAGGTTTTTCTAGTTATTCTCCTTTTATTACTGTCTAATTGAGTTGCATTAAGTGATCAGGTATTGATTGTATGATATTAATCCTTTGAAATCTATTGAGGTTAGCTTTATGGTGTTGTTGTGCCCAAGGTCAGCAGACTCGGCGAGCCTAGCCTCCAAGAACCCAAAGACAGCCGATGCAAACACAAAAGGGAGTTTATTTCAGACTCGAGTCTGGGTTCACGGCACCTACCAATGCAGTGGCAGATACTGAGAGCCCCGAACAAAGGAAGCAGGGGTCTTTTAATAAGGTTAAATTATGCTGGCAGTTACTCATTGGCTACAAGGATGCGTTCTCCAACTTTGCCCGGCTATCATTCTAAGCTGACTGGCCAGGCCAAGATGCAGCTCCAACCTGCAGCTCCAATTACAGCAAGTTCGCCCTCATTGGTGACCGGAGAGGAAGGGTGGAGTGAGGGTTCAAACTATCTCTGGAATGCAGTCTTTTCCCAGCAAAACCTAAAATTCTAAAATGGCAGTTACACAAAGCAATGGCTAAGAATACTTATGCTTGGTTCCACAGTGTAGTACTAAGGTTACTTTTCAGAATGTTTCATATGTTCCTAAAGTAATGTACAGACTCCCACTATAATATATGTATACATATATTTGTAATGTTATGTATGTAATATGTATACATATATTAACTGTATCGCTATATATGTTATCTAATTATGTGTTATTCAAATCTTCTATAACCCTTAAAATGTACACAAACATATCAAAGATTTGTAGAGGACTATTCATAATTGGCTTATTCACTGTAAGAAATGCGGTAGCTATATAACTGAGTTGATCAGATCACCCTTAACAACAGGGTATGCTGTCAATTCACATAGTGTAGTGGACACTGCTAATACTGGCTTGAGAGACAGCTGGTTGTAAAATTTTTGGATATTTTCAAACCAGTTGTTAAACACAGCCATTATTTAAAAAACAGTTATGGGGCCTCCCTGGTGGTGCAAGGGATTAAGCACCACACTATGAAGCAATCCACAGCCTCTGCAGCACGAGTTCGATCCCTGGCCGGCCAGGGAGAAAACCACATGGCACAGCAGACCTCTTCTGTCTCACCCGCTGCTCCCCTCAGCAGTGTATTTCAGTCAATCCGCCTGTTATGTTCCCCATTCTGTATCTGGTGGATCCTCTCACCCCCTGCATCTCTGGCCTGTACCCCAGCTCTTGTATGCATAAATAAATAAATCTTTAAAAACAAAAATAAAATAAAAAACAGGTATTATGATAAATTACAATTAAATAAATTATGCTGAAAACAAAGATAACATCCCCAAACTTTTCACTTCTTAATTACTATATTTTGCTTTATATATGAACTGGAGTTTATTTGCATCTACTGTATTTGTATGGTAGAAAACTATATAATGGTGTGCTGCTGAAAATTTCCCCTGGAAATTTGTGTTCAGTTATGTCACTCACATTGACAATAGCTTGAAATTTCACATAGCTTGAAATTGGCCTTGGTGGAAAGGTCAATTAATGGAAATCCACAAGAGCTACTGTTGAACTTGAAGTGATGGGGACAATGTCAATAATGCAGAAAAAAAAAACAACAACTTAAAAGTGTGTGGTGTTCATAACCATTACATTGTGAAAAGAAAGAAAGAAAGAAAAGAGGGCCTCCCTGGTGGCCCAGGGGTTAAAGTCTCAGCACTATGAAACTATTGGCAACCACTGCAGCATGAGTTCGATCCCCTGCCAGGAAGCAGACCTACTGGGCTCAGTAGACCTCTCCTGTCTCACCCGCTGCTCCCTTCAGCAGTGTATTTCAGTCAATCTGCCTGTTCTGCTCCCCTCTCTGTCTCTGGTGTATCCTCTCACCCCCATAATTTTGGCCTACAGCCCAGCTCTTGTATGCATAAATAAATACTTAAAAAAGAAAAGAAAAATTCTTCCACTATTAAGTATTCATTTATTTCAGCAGAGAAGTTACTCACAATATTGGCAAACAAGTGGAATTATGATATATATCTTGTTGTTTTACTTTCATCTTATTCATTAGTATAAACAAACAAAAAAAATCAACCAGAATTCATAGTGAAACTATATCGTTAATCAGTTGCAAGCATAGGTTGGCTAGATACAAGAGTTGAGCAAAAACCTATGAACCTATGAAAATATTCTGGAAGAATCAATTGTTTATGAGGAATTTTATAGTAAAATTTATGGTATATATATATATTTTAAAGATTTATTTTTATTTATTTATACATACAAGAACGGAGGTACAGGCCAGAGGTACAGAGGGTAAAGGGATTCACCAAAGACAGAGTGGGGAGTAGAACAGGTCTGACTGAAATACACTCCTGAGGGGAGCAGCAGGCAAGTCAGGAGAAGTCTGCTGCATTATGTGGGTTAGCTGGCAGGGAAAGGAACTCATGTTGCAGTAGCTGGCAATAGTTTGATAGTGCTGAGACTTAACCCCTTGCGCCACTAGGGAGGTCCCAGTATATTTTATTTTTTATAAGTTTTGTGCTACAATCCTTTAGCTATCTCTATTCTATTCTATTCTATTCTATTCTATTCTATTCTATTCTATTCTATTCTATTCTATTCTATTCTATTCTATTCTTTGATTCTAATCTTCTTGCAGTGCTTCAGCAGTTGTGCATGTCTTACTGTTTTTGCATGCAGCTTTCACGTGTAGCAACAGAACAAACTGAACGTGAATGACTAGAAATCCCTACTCTGGTCAGCTGGTGTATCCATATCTAATGGGTTTCCAGCTTTGATGATTGCTCAGAATGCAGCCATCATCTGCTCCAATGTGGAAGCATATGCTCAGTCAAAACAAAGAGTATGTTCTGAAGGAGGTGGGAGAGTAGGTGTTCACACTCCAGATCTGTGATCAAGGAAGGCTTGGTAAGAAGGATTAGAGATGGGTTCTAGAAGGTGCACTCAAAAATGGTGAAAACACCCTAATTTCATGGTGGGAAGACAGGATATATGTGGAGTAAGAGGTGGAGGTGGTAGGAGGCTGAAATACCTGGAGTGGCAGTCCAGTCTCAGGAAATAGGAGCTTAGGTAGCAGGTGCTGAGACTGCACTAAGCCTATTTCCAGGTTAGGTTTCTCTTATAGCTAACTGGTATAGCGGGAAGGAGCCATTTGAGGCACCCAGATCCTGAGTAAGAAATGTTGACGGGAGTGAGGTGAGATGGGGTGTATCTGTGGTTATGTTATAGGACAGCCCCGATATTGAACGGGTTCCTGGCTGTGGGTCCTCACCCTCGCGCTTAAAAGGGACTTACTAATACTCCACTACAGGCACACACAAAAGGTTAATAAAAGGTTTATTTATAAGGGAAAAGGAAAATGTACAACTCAGGGAGAAAATAGGGAAATAAAGTCTTTAATGCGTCCTACCCGATCCGACGACCTGGAAACCCAAAGGCACTCTCAGAGCTGGCCGGATGCTGCGAGCTGGCGGAGAGCCAAAATGGGGGAACCCCGCAAAGCCCACGTGTCTGCCTTTTGTATCCACCTGGCTGCTTAACCCCACCCTCAGGTCCCAGCCACTTTCCCTTTGGTGGTGATGGGATTTGGAGTTCCCAGTGTCTTTGGCTTTGGCCTGGGGTGGGGGTGGAGTCACAAAGCCTGTATGGAATTAGCTTTAGGACCTCCTTTTCCCCCTAACAGTTACTATGGGCCGCCCGCGCCCTCCAACTCCACCATTATAAAGCTGATTAACCAAAGCACCTGAGGCCAGCTCATGCACTGTGTGTGACTTAGCTGGGTGGGCCAGGCCCCACACAACTCTTGGTCGTCATTGGTCAAGTCTAGAAAAATGCGTGTGGAACAACTGGCAGCCTCCTTCGGATTGGTTGATTTCTGCAGACTCTCAACTAAATCTGAGTAGAATGTACCATGCTCCTTCCCATGCTCTTGATCCCCGGAGGAACCATGGTAGGTGGCGGGATGCAGATTTTGTCACTGTTCTGAGGCTGCCACACAGCCTCTGCCGCCGAGATTTAATGAATGGAAATGCACTTTTTCCACAGAACGAGTTGTTTCACTAGTATAATGTGAGAATCTGCGTTTAGACGGCGAGGCGCGGAGAAGAGGTGATTTGTTTTGTCCGTCCACCCTTTAAAACAGCAGAGACTCACGACCAGCTCCTGCTATGCGAAGACGCCAGTGTCGGGTTTCCCGCAGCGGGAGGGGAGTTTGAGTGACTTTTGGCACCTCGCGGCCTCTGTACCGTCCCTAGTTACCGCGCCCCTAGTAACCGACCGCCCCAAACTTGCTGCTGCCCGGGTAGCCCGAGGCCGTGCCAGCTTCCCCGCCCCGGGCCAGCGCGGGCGCTCCGGCCTCGGCGGCGCGGTGATGGCCGCCTCGCTCCGAGCGGGGAAGCCGGCGGCCTCCGGTCACCAAAGCCCGACAGATGCCACCACCGGAGCGCGGGCCGCCCAGTCCAAAGGCGAAGACGCCGTAGACGACCAGGCAACTACAGAGAGGGCCTTGGAGAAGGAAGAGGAAGTGGAGAAGGCAGAGCCGCAGGCGCGGGCGCCGGTACTGCAGGGGCGGGCCGTGGGGGGGCGCGGGCCGTGGGTGGGGGGGGCGGGCCGTGGGGGGGGGGGCGGGCTGGTTGTTGATTCGCGTTTCTGCCTGACTGAGGTTGGGACGCGAGACGCCCTGTCCGGATCTTCCCTGCCCAGTGAACCCGGCCCACCACGTTCTCTCTGGCTTCACGTTAAATACTCAAAACCGAGACGCTGAATAGGCTTTTAATTTTCACGAGGGATTGTTGTAGAATTTCTTGGAGAGAATTTACATTACTCTTATCTAGAGAGTGCAGAGTACGGAACTTTACTCCTTAAGCTCCAGCATCGGCTGGGAGTAGGTGTTTCCTTTTCTTTTTAACATAAGGAAATTTGTTCTGCTACGTAGTGGAAAACCCATAAAAACTCAGAGTCTTGGTTAGTAGTGCATTTTAACAAAATAAGCGATAGGCGGAGTTTAAAATCATCAAAAGTTCAGTAAGTAGATTGGATACAGATAAAGTTAAGCATCCAGAGAAGCTAATTACTAAGGTTCCAGTGTTTCCTGAAGGCTGTTCAGGGTGGAGCGAGACAGACTTTTCACTGATCAGTTGTCAGTATCAAATGTGTCGGGAACACCTGTCCACCAGGTAGAGGGTTGAGTCTGCCATCTGCTGTATTCATTAAAAAGATATGAACCTCAAGTTTTAACTAGCAATCTGCAGATATAAACTCCTTACTCCCAGCTGATACCATTTTTTTTTTTTTTTTTTTTTTTTTTTTTTTTTGTGGGACCCTCGCCGCTGGCCGGGGAACAAACCTGCGCTACAGAGGCTGCGGGCAGCCTCGCAGCCCAGTGCTCAACCACTGCGCCACCAGGGGAGGCCCCCAGCTGATACCATTTGTCCAAAGCTTCTCAGATAAAAAACATGGTCTAGGGCTAATAGAAATCAAGGAATAATTTGAAATTTTAATCTCTGTGATCTTTGCTAAAACTCTTAATGAGGCAATCTATAGCAACAGTGTTTGTGGTCATTTTTTCACCAATAAATATGCCCTACTTGAGGTTATCTAGAGTAAAGCAGATTGACACTCTGAGCATGAACCAGGGTCAGAGTTACAGAATTAGTTTTGTTCATTATAATACTTCCCCTCAACACAAGCCAATAAAGAAGCCAAAGTGATGGAGGAAAAAGATTTGAATGAAGAAAAAGGATTTGGCATCCCGGGTTAGGTTCCTCTCACTGCCACTGGCTAGAGAATATTAATAATTTTCCTTACCTGTGAAAGAACTAGATTAATTGCCTCTCTTCTCACTGGGCTGTAATGAGAAGTAAATGAGAGGATGTGTATCATATCTAAACAAGTTTGTATAAATTAGTAATAATAGTAACTTGTCCAAAGATTAAATTTTTCTATAATTTCATTTATATATACTTCCAGAATGCCCCACTAAACTTCAAATTTATATTAAAACTGTTATTATCTTAGGAGAGATTAATTTATACAATGAGTTAGTTTCAAAGGGACAGTATCCAAACTCCTCCCTGCCCCCCAAAAGTAAGTTAGGTTTTTTGAGTTTGTCACTGTTCTGAGACAACCTGTGTAAACTTTCACAATAGATCTGATAGCCAGATACTCTGGGTAAGGGGGAGAAGACCTGAAAAAGGAAGAATGAGAGTGTTGGAGCCGAGCTTTTCCTTTTTTGAAGTTTGGCGTAGGGCTTCACCTTGACCCCAAGATGATTTGTTTTCTCTTTGTCATCTATCAAATGTAGTAAATTCAAATGCCCAAGCACCACACCAGGTTGATTAAAGAACCAATTGTCTCAGTAGACCCCTTTCAGTCTTTTGGTTTGCCAAAACTGTCCCCCTTCCCCCCACACATATACTCCAACCCCCACGTACACACACCCCTTGCAGGACTCTGCCTACACTGGGCACTGAGTGTGCTTTTTTTAAGTCTAGCCTCAGTTGGAGATAGCATTTCATAAAGCCTTTGTTATGTGATTGATGATAACATGGGTAAAGCAATTTTCTATAATTCACAGTTAAAATTGGGTTTTTTTTTAAAAACAAATATTAAACATTTATTAAGTGCTAGTTACTGACTGTTTAGTGGTGGACAAAGTAGACATAGCTCACATCGTCACAGAATTTCCAGTCTGGTGTGGAAGTTAGAAATAAAAAATGAATGTCGGAAAATAAATGAGCCATGTACTATGATTAAACAGAAGTATTTCTATTAAAAAGTTAACTGAGTTAACTTTTAAGTAGATGCCTGATAGATGAGAAAGAGCAGCCGTTTGAAAAGTGGATATGAGGAGTGTTCCAGGCATATGTAGGAACAGCATATGCAGAGATTCTAAGATAGGAAAAGAAAGAACTTGGTGTAAGGATCTGAAAGAAAGCTAGCAGGGCTGGGAAAGAAGGAGAAGGAAAGAGGGACCAGATAAGGTTGGAGAGGTATGCAGGACCTTATTACTCAGGACCTTTGGGACCAGGTTTGAAGTTGTGTTTATTGTAGGTGCAATGGGAGATCTTTGAAGACTTTTCAGAGAGAGAGAGGCTTCCTATTTACATTTTTGAAAGATGACTTTGATGCCTTTGTGGAGAATAATTGGAGGGTTTGACAAGGCAGAAGTAAGGAGATGGTTAGGAAGCTGTTGCATTAATTCAGGTGCCAGAGGCTGTGGCTTGGACCAGGAGAGATGGCAAGAGGTAGACAGATTTCTTAGAATGCGTAGGTCTTGGTGTTATATTAGGTATGAAGGATCAGGAGTAGGAAAAAAGAAAAACCACAAATGCTCATTCCCAAGTTTCTCATTTGACTAGCTACATGGAAGATAATGTATATTTACTGACCTGGGGATGACTTGGGGGAGGAATAGGTTTAAAGTCTGGGTAGGAAATCAAGTTTTTCCGTATGGTAAATTTGAGATGCCAGTGAAATTACCATGTTGAATTGTCTCAAAAGCAGTTAGGTCTATGAAGCTAGTCCTATGGGGTCTGGGCTAGAGATTTCTATCTGGGAGATTTTAGCTTTTTTAAAAAAAATGAGAATCCTTGAAGTCACCCAGTTTGAGAGCACAGAGAAAGAAGAGAAGGGTCTAATATAGAAATCTTAAATATCTTAACATTAACAGTTAGGTGGAGAAAAAGGGGTCAAAGAGATTAAGGACCAGTTATAGTGGTCAAAGGATTATCACAAGAGTGAAATCCCTAATTCACTGACGCTGACCATGAGGGTAGATAGTTTTGTAGAAAGGAAGTTTTGTAGAAGGTACTTTTGTAGAAGGGAAGATAAGGCACTTCCTATGGATGGTTTCTCTTAAAGGAATGAAAGAATGATCACGGGCAGTTGGAGGGTGGGATGTGGAGCAGGTGGAAAAGCAAAGGAAAGGTAACAATTTTGCTGGGACAGTGCCAGAGCCACCTTCCAGAAGGAGCCATGGGAGGTGAAAGGCTGACCAAGTATCCTTTAGAAATTATTCAGTTTGTAATCTAGTATTACTACAAAACATTCTTTTTTTTAAGTTGCTTTTTAATTAGGGAAATAATACATGAACACATTTTTTTTTTTTAAATATCAAGTGTTACAAATAAGGCTTAAGGCCCATTTAATACCTTTCCCCCCAAAAAAGAAAATTTGGGTCTTTCTTTTTTTCACCATTGGTAGTCACTGTTTTTAAATTGATATATATTATCCTGAACTTTTCCCTGTCTCCTTTGTATATAATATTTTAACACTTGGCAGCATTTTATATATACATGTTGTTTTGCAGCTTGCTTTTTTCTCTTATTTATTGGACGTTTACCCATGTTAGTACATAAGATCTGCCTCATTCCTTACATACCTTTTCAATGCAAAAAAATTTTTAAAAATTCCAAAATTGCGGATGATACTTGGTAGACCATAACACAAATAATTATAGGTTCTGATTACTAATGAAGGAACATGTCCTGGAAGGATTCATCATCTAAATGGGTCAATCCAATCTAGGGAAGATTATCCACTAATCTAGTAGCTGCATGCACAACATTCCACAGAAAGCTGAACAATTAAAGGCAAAGGGAGCATTGTAGGTGCTTGAAAAATAATGTCTCTAGTCTAGGTTATTTGATGCATTAAATGTTGTCTCCTGTGTGGAAACAAATATTAAAGCTGGAAGTTGCTGATTAACCATTCATCTGTTTTAGGTAAAAATGCTGCTATCAGTTTATCTGAAAAGTTCAAGCTAGTAATCACAGTAGTAAGCTGACAAGGAGTGGGTTCTGTGCAGAAGTCAGTGCATAAGTGTCATTTATCAGACCTGCTACATCTCTTTGGAAGTTACTACTCATCATTTTTTTCAAATAGTTTTTTTTTAGGGCCAAATAAATTTTCTTTTTTATGAAAATGATTGTTATAAGGCCTTCTTTAAGTGATGTTCTAAAAGAATGAGTTGGAAGCACACATATGCTTTTGCCTAAAAGCAGTTCTTTGGAATACCCTCTGTGTTTTAATTACAGCTTTTGGAAACCCCTTTCCTTAATACTCAGTAGAATATAGCTCTTTAGAGCAGCCAATATTTCTTTGAGTGATTCAATCCTTTGTGAGGAATTACCTGTCCTCCTTCCTGGGTGGAAACAATGTTTGTTTTTTTTTTAAACACGTTCATTTGTTCAATAAATATTTATTGAGCATCTCTAATTAGGTACTTTCCTAGGCACTGAATATACAACCATGAATAAAGCACACATTTGCTTTTATGACACTTTTTGGTGGAGGCAGACATACAATACACAAGTAAGCTACTTAGAATCTCAGTCGCTGGTGAGTATGAGAAAGGTAAAGCAGAAAAAGGCTAACAATGAGTGAGGAAAGAGGTTGTAATTTTAAATAGGGTAGTCAGCAAAGACCTTGTTGAGTAGATGACATTTGAATAAAGACCTGAAGAAGTGAGTGAGTGGGCCGTGCAGACATCTGTAAGAGCAGCCTGGAAGAAGGAATAATCAGTACAAAATCCCTGAGGCTATTTTGCTGATTCTGTAGCACTGGGAAAACTACAAACTGGAATCGGCCAGTGCTACTAGTATGAAATCACTGCTGCTAGGGGAAGAGTCTCCTTGGATGAAGCAAGCAGACTAGTGGACAGAGAAGTGACAAGAAAAATAACTTCCTTTTTCCTCCAGCCTTGCCACCTCCCTGTAGACCCACTTTTGGGAGTGTCTGATGGGCAGCAGTGAGCAAAGGAGAAATGGGAGTTTGTGGGGCCCCAGGCCCAGTATCACATGGCAGGTGTATCAGACTTAGAAGCCATAGTTTAACACTTGGCACACCTACTTTATGAATGGTGAGGCTGATATTCAAAAGATTAGTATGCACATCACATGGCTTTGAGGTACAGAACCTTCTGGCACCATTTCCGTAATCTTTATCCCAAGTCATGAGAACACTCCAAGCTGAACAATTACTTCCATCTAATCCTTTCATCTTTCAAGGGGCAAAGGAGTGTGAAACCAAGTGACCAGTGAGTGATCACGAGCCAGGAAGAGAAACCTCCTGCTTGCCCTAACCTCCCTTTCTGGGCTTGCTTCCCAAAATTGCTTTATGCATTTTACTTTTCTCTTATCCTGCAACTGTGTGCAGCTTGCTTTCCACAGTATTCCCCAAACCCACTGCCTTGTTAATGATATTTCCATTGTCTGGAGTACTTCTTCCCTCTTTCCCCTATACTGTGATACTCCAGCTTGATGAGCCACTGAGAGTTTCGTTCCCTCCATTCCCCTGCCCTCATTTCCCCATATTCCCACCTTCTTCCTATTGCATACACTTAGGGTCCACACTGCATGAACCCAGTTGAGAGGGCATTGGGCTGGTTTGTAGCAGTAGGAACTGTGTTCCTCATCTCAGTTAAAACTTACAGGTCAGGAGGAGCTTTATAAAGGATTATTTGGTTCTATAGTATTATATATGGATTAGTATGTGATGGATTAGCATTTATTTTTCTGGCAACTTGGTTTCTCTTTTTTTTTTTTTAAGATTAATTGATTGATTGATTGATTTATACATACATTCATACAAGCACTGGGCACAGTCAGAAGCGTGGGAGAGTGAGAGAATTCACCATAGCTAGAGCGGGGAGCAGAGCAGGCAGAAGGACCCAAGTACACTGCTGAGGGGAGCAGCGGGCCGCAGGAGAGGTCTGCGCGCCATGTGGGACCCTCCTCTGGTGGCCGGGGAGCAGCCGGGGATCGAACCGGCGCTGTAGAGGCCGCAGGCAGCTTTGCAACCCAGCGCTCAACCACTGTGCCACCGGGGAGGCCCCTCTCTTTCTTTTTAATACAATTTCATTTGGGGAAAATGAAGTAATTCATAAATCCATTATATGTATGTAGCCCACAAGATATAACATAATTAAGTAGACTCTTTAATTTGCAGCTTTGGTAATCAGAGTCTACTTAATTTGTCTGTCTTTTTTTTCTTTTTTCTTTTTTTTTTTAAGATTTATTTATTTATACAATCACTGGGTACAGTCAGAAGTGCGGGAGGGTGAGAGGATTCACCAGAGACAGAGCGGGGAACAGAACAGGCATGCAGACTGAAATATATTGCTGAGGGGAGCAGCTGGCGCAGCAGGAGAGCTCTGTGCACCATGTGGGACCCTCGCCAGCAGCTGGGGATCGAACCAGCGCTGCAGAGGCTGCAGGCAGCTTCGCAGCCCAGCGCTCAACCGCTGTCCCACCAGGGGAGGCCCCTTTTTTTTAAAGATTTATTTATTTATGCATACAGGAGCTGGGGTACAGGCCAGAGGTGTGGGGGCGGGGGGGGGTGAGAGGATTCACCAGAGACAGAGTAGGGAGCAGAACAGGTAGACTGACCAAAGTACACTGCTGAGGGGAGCAATGGGCGATGAGTTCGGGGATCGAACTCATGCTGCAGTGGCTGTGGACAGCTTATAGGTTGCGTCTTAACCCCTTGTGCCACCAGGGAGTGGTGGCACAATTTGTCTTTCGATTTGTCTTGTCTTTCAATTCCAAACAACATGTAACAGATATTTTATATTCTACCAGGCTGATTTTAACACCAGCTTTTCTGCGGTGAATGAACAAACACATGTAGGCCCGGAGGACTTTGTGGACTCTTTGGACTTTTCTGAAATCCGCCACTCTAACGAAGAATATTTCAGGAAACTAGAAGAACTAAAGACTGCCCACATGGAAACTATGGCAAAATTAGAGAAAATGTACCAGAATAAATTAAATTTGAAGGGAGTTCAGCCAGTGGTCATCAGAGAAGAGACTTCTGGTATTTCTTCTAGGTAAGTTATACATAATGTTATTTGTAGACTATAAATAAAATGTATACTTAAAAGTGTAGAACAAAATTATTTCCAAATATTTTTCTCTCAAATGTTCCTTTGTACTTTTAATGATATATTTATTCAGAATGCTTAATGACTTACCAACCTACTAGGTGAATTCTTGCTTTGAGGGTCTTTTGGTGGCCATTTGGTCTTTTCTTTCTCACCCATCACTTATAGAACTATGGACATGTATCAGTGTATTTAATCTGGGCTATTTTTTTTTTTTTTATAATTTTATTTTTTTTTTTAAAGATATTTTTTATTTATTTATACAAGCACTGGGTACAGTCAGAAGCGTGGGAGGGTGAGAAAATTCACCAGAGCCAGAGCGGGGAACAGAGCAGTCAGAGTGACAAAGTACACTGCTGAGGGGAGCAGTGGGCATGGCAGACCTTTCTGCCGCGCCATGTGGGATCCTCGCTGGTGGCCGGGTATCAAACCGGCGCTGCAGATGTTGCAGGCAGCTTCGCAGCCCAGCGCTCAACTGCTGCACCACCGGGGAGGCCCTGGGCTATTTTTTTTTTAAGATTTATTTATTTATGCATACAAGAGCTGGGGTATAGGCCAGAAGTGTTTGTGTGGGGGTGAAGATTCACCAGAGACAGAGTGGGGAACAGAACAGGCAGATTGACTGAAATACATTGCTGAGGGGAGCAGCAGGCAACTCAGGAGAGGTCTGCTATGCCATGAGGTTTGCTCCCTGGCCGCCAGGGGATTGAACTCATGCTGCAGAGGCTGCAGACAGCTTCATAGGTTGCATCTTTTTTTTTTTTTTTTTAAATTTTTAAAAATTTTATTTTTTATTTATATATTTTTTAAAATAAATTTTATTTTTATATTCCCCATACAATTGCAACCCCCTTATTTTGACACCAATCCCTCCCCTCCCTACTCCCCCACCCCCTATAGAGTGTCTCTGGTTGTATCTTAACCCCTTGCGCCACCAGGGAGGCTGCCATCTGGGCTATTTTTAAATGATGAACATTAAAATTTAACTTTGAAGGCCCTGTATAATATGTGATTAAACATGAGTTCATTAAAGATGTAGTACAAAGAACTTAAGACTAAGACATGAATCTGATTCCAGTTTTCAAAAATGGCCTGCAATTTTGAGACCCATTTCTGCTGTCAATTCATTTGCTTCAAATTTTGAAACAAGTTCCTTAACTTATCCAGTTGGCTAGTGCTGATTATGTATCTCCTGTGTGCCAGACCTCTCCTGGGCACCTGAGAGTCAAAGTCAAAATGCTCTCGAGGAGCTGAGAACCAGTAATTGCAATATAAAATGATGGATATTATGGACACAGAGGAAGAAGCAGTTGATGTCAGTGTCACCTCAAGATGTTGGTGGAAGGAAGCAGGCAGGAATTTTCTTCTGAAGTGTCATATCTCTGAGTTCAGTCTAAAAGAAGAGTAGCTGCAGAAGATGCAGGAAGCAAGGAGTAGCCTTCTAGGCAACAGAAACCATATGTACCAAACCATGGCTGCATGAGAAATCCTGGTACTTGTGAGGAACTTTATGCCCTGGATATGACTTAAGAATGATGGCAGAGATGAGAGATAAAACTGGAAAGGTAGAGCCTCCCTGATGGCACAGGGGTTAAAGAGAGTGCTATCAAGCTATCGCCAGCCAATGAAGCATGAGTTTGAACCCCCGGCGAGCCAGGGAGCTACCCACATGGCATAGCAGACCTCTCATGCCTCGCCCGCTGCTGCCCGCAGCAGTGTATTTCAGTAGATTTGTCTGTTCTGCTCCCCACTCTCTCTGGTGAATCCTCTCACCTCCCTGCACCTCTGGCCTACACCCAGTTCTTGTATGCATAAATAAATAAATCTAGTCTTGAAGGGCTTTATAATCTAGATTTGACTTAGTAACAATGAGAAATCATGGAAAGGTTTCGGGAAGGGAATGATGTGATCAGATGTGGTCAATGAGTCTGGGAATCATGTAGAGAATTCAACAGATTAGACACAGGAGCCTCTGCTGTCTCAGGTTCTTCCCTGTAAAATGAGGGAGTCAAACTAAATAATTAATAGGCATCTCTTGGCATTATTATAAATAGAATCATTTTTATAAGCTCTGTCCAGATTCAGCCTTCTTAACTGATTATACCTTGATTTTAGAAAATACATAATTCTGGGCCTCCCCGGTGGCATAGCAGTTGAGCACTGGCTTGCGAAGCTGCCCGCAGCCAGCTGCCGGTTCGATCCCCGGCCGCCGGAGAGGGTCCCACATGGCTCGCAGACCTCTCCTGCTGCCCGCTGCTCCCCTCAGCAGTGTACTTCAGTCCTTCTGCCTGCTCTGCTCTCCGCTCTGGCTCTGGTGAATTCTCTCACCCTCCCGCACTTCTGACTGTACCCAGTGCTTGTATAAATAAATAAAAATAAATCTTTAAAAAAAATGCAAGTATTATTAAAAAAAGAAAATACATAATTCTTAGTTTTTGTATGTTGTCACATACAACTGAAAATGTAATTTAATTATTGTTCTTGCTTAGGTCTGTATCAGAAAAGAATTCCTATCACCCTGTCTCATTAGTAACATCGTTTTCAGAACCTAATTTAAGTCAGTCTTCCTCCTTGATTATGCTTCCTTCTGAAGACGAATTGCCCAACTTAGAAAAAGAGTATCCCAAGAAAAACAAAGTGATGAACTATGCAAAGGAGCTCATCAACAACATGTGGACAAACTTTTCTGTTGAAGATTATATTCAGTGTAAAGATGTTGATGATTTACCAGCAGTTGAAAAAGCAAAGAAGAAACCAAAAGAGTGGGTACCAAAGATTACAGTACCTGAGCCTTTTCAGATGACAATTAGAGAGCAGAAGAAAAAAGAAGAGGACATGAAATCTAAATCAGATCTGGAAATGTTACACAACGCTCTTGAAAAAGAAGAAGATTCAGAATGTAAGAAGAAATTCCGAGCTAATCCAGTTCCCACATTCGTCTTTTTCCCTTCTTATCATGATTTACTCCAGCAAAATGAAGAACAGAGGAGATTTAGGAAGGAGAAAAACAAAGAAGCTCTTTTGGCCTCACAAAAGCCATTTAAATTTATTGCAAGGGAAGAACAGAAGCAAGCAATCCGGGAAAAGCAGCTGAGAGACTTTTTTAAGTGTAAAAAGACAAGGAAGCGATTTAAAGCCAAACCTATACCTCAGTCTACTTATGCTTTAACTACCAATGGCAAGTTAAAAGACAAGCTCTGTGGAAATACTAGGACACAAGAGCTTTTACAGAATTCATCTCCTCTGTCTGATACACTAGCTTATAAAAATTTTGCTACATGGAAACCCAAGTATCCTGAGCAGACTGAAAAGTTGAGGGGTAAACACAAGGGTAAGTGCCAGATTGCTGATTTTGAAGAGCTTCCTTTGAGATACCAAAAACACCTCTCAGAATGGGAGCATCCCAAACAGATAACCTGCAAACCATTTGATCTTCATGCAGCCTCATGTGTATCCACTAAAAAGGAGAAAAATTTGGCAGACATTGAGACAGATGAAGAAGAAAATTTAAAAGAAACACATTGGCCTTACCTGTCTCCAAGGCATAAGTCACCAGTAGGAAGTGCAAGTGCAAAGCCCATGCCTTGTGACTTCTACTTTCCAATGCCCACAGCATCTTCCAGAGGAAGAGAACAAGCCACAAGGTAAATAATTAGGATACAATACTCACTTACTCATGGTTACTAAAATAGTAGATGCAGCCCTATTGGATTTATGTTGGTGAATTTGAAAACAGGAAAAAATTATTATATCTGATAATATATTTTACTGTAAAATATAAAACATTTTACCTGAGGGTATATTCCATTTTATGATGTCTTGCATGTAGAAAAGCCTGCCTATTGATTTCCAATTTCACAAGTCAGAGCCTTCTCAAAAGGTTAACCTTTTTCAACCTTTGAGTTAAAGCTTTGCTAAACAACATTCTCATTGGCTTAAAGTGAATTAAGCCTTAGTTTGTTGTCCTCAGGAAATCACTTGAGGAAAAGAAAATGTTGGAAGAAGAGAGAAATCGGATCCTAACTAAGCAGAAGCAAAGAATGAAAGAATTGCAGAAACTTCTAATAAACCGGGCTAAGGCCTATGACTCGCATCAAAGTTTAGCTCAAATGTCTAAAGCCAGAGTAAAATCTCTCAGGTATCATGAGTGAATCCTGAACCTCTGGATCACTGGTTTTCAAACTTTCTTTTTTTTAATCAATGGGTACCAATATATGAACAGATTAAGAATAGCATCAGTAGTTTAGTTTGTGGATCCAAATTACTATCAGTTAGTTATACTCAACATATGCACACAATCACTCACTTCGTGGTGAGCACTACGAAGCCATGGTAATGAACAGAAACATTTTATATTGTGGTCATAGTTAATAGTTATAATCTTATATCAGCATTTAATCTTTTTCTTCACATTACTTCTGATTTTACAATATAATATTGAGAAAGGTCTTGATTCATGCAGATATGACTCTTAACAGTCTGCCATGTAATCGCAGAATATTTCTGAAAAAAACAGAAATGTCAGATAGCTTTATTCTAAATAAGGTCTGTACAAGATCTGATAACACAGATCTTGTGTTGATTAATGCATTTGTGTTCATGTTTAGTGCTATGTGTTGTATTTTGCTACAGTTTTAATATTGAAAAGTAAAAATATTTACATAACTACATCATAGAACACGGGAATTCTGCAGTACAAAGTTTGAAAACCATTGTTCCACAGGATCATTTTTATGTTGCACATAAAAATGTTCATGTTTAAGTAGGAAAATAACTCTCCCAAAGCCAGGTAAGTAAATATGATTTATTAATTTTAAGTTTGATGTGTAAGTACCAAAGAATCTATATTTGCTTTAAATAACGTGAATATTCTTTTTAAAATATGCATTATGTATAATACTAAGTAAATTCTTATATAATGTGTGTAAAGGAACATATATATTCCTTTTTAATGTGTATTAACATAATTCATTGATGGAGGGAACCTGGAACAAAAAATTCCTTAGAAATATATTATTCACTCCTAGAAAGTAAACTGGTTTTTTTATAATGCCAACTTGTAGATTATTAAGCAAGTTGTAATTTTATCATATGTTTATTTTCTCTAATCCATGAAGTCTTACCTTGGCAAAGTTAATATATTTAATATAGAGAAAATAGAAGTTTAATTCATTAAAGGATCTTGTCTAAAGAGTAGCTACACTTACTGTGAATTTATGTATTTTGGCTTCTGTTCTTCATATGTTATATTCCCGTGCTTTCCATTTCTCCCCAACCTGCTCCCATTTAATTAACTTTGCCACCCATTTATAGGGGATCTTATTTAGAGTACAAAAAAAGAGCAAGGTCTTATTTTTGGAAGTTCCTTAAAGAAAAGACACCTAATTTGGACCAAACTTTCTTGGTTTTATACACTTAAAAGTATGATAAAACGACATTATTCATCTATTCAAGATATGTCGTCAAGATTTCAGAACCCTGGAGTATTCAGACTGTTTCCAGGATGTAAAACATGTGCTCTCAGAACCTAGAATTTTTATTCTGCATTCCATATAAATGTGCCAGTCTGGAACAGGAATTGTGGTATCCTATAAACTGTGCTTTATAATTCAATTTCTCATTAGTTATCTAAGCTAAAGGTTATATATGCAAGTTCTTCTTTTTAAAATTCCATTCCTTTTATTTGATTTTAGAAAGAGTGAAAAGGAAAGGATGAGAGAATATCAACAAGAACTAGAAGAAAGAGAAGAGAAGTTAAAAAACAGGCCACTACTGTTTGAAAGAGTTGCTCAGGTTGTGTTTGTTGGAATTTAAGAGCTATTGTCAGCTTTTTTTTTTTAAACATCACTAGCTCCTAGCAGATTGTCCGTATTTCTTGTGTGTTATATAATTTATTGAGATGTATTGTTTCTGTGACTGAGCTTCATCAGATCAGTCAAGTAAATAATTTTGCTTAAAATCTGAACATTGAATCTTACTGAGGAGGCATGTAAGCTTGATAAAGAACATGCTACTGATTCGAACATTTTCAAAATTATTTCACAATTTGTTTATCATGGCCAGTGTTTTTTCAGTGCCAACTTAGCCAAATATTAAGGTGAGGCTTCACTCACAATCTGATTTGGAGATCTTTGAAGAATTAAAGAATGAAGCAAAATGGCTAATTGAATCAGATTTGTTTCTTCCGTTTTTTTTGGGGTTTGTTTTATTGAGATAGTATTGACATACAGTACTGTATATGCATAAGGTGTACAACATAATGACTACACCATATATATGTGTGTGTGTGTGAGTGTGTGTATATATATATATATATATATTGCAAAATTATTGCCATAACAAGTTTAGTTAATATCTACCATCTCAGGCCTCCCTGGTGGCGCAAGGGGTTGAGACGCAACCTATGAAGCTAACCGCAGCCATTGCAGCATGAGTTCAATCCCTGACTGCCCAGGGAGCAATCCACATGGCGCAGCAGACCTCTCCTGTCTTGCCCGCTGCTCCCCTCAGTCTCTCTGCCTGTTCTGTTCCCCACTCTGTCTCTGGTGAATCCTCTCACCCCCCCACACCTCTGGCCTGACCCCAGCTCTTGTATGCATAAATAAATAAATCTTTAAAAAATATATCCACCATCTCATATAATTTGCAAAGCCATTTTGATCATTTAGCAAAACCAAAGTGATGAGAACTTTTAGAGTACTCTCTTAGCAGCTTTCAAATATACCTGTACCAGTGTTAACTGGTACAATATAGTCATCGTATTGTATATTACAGCATGGACTACTTTTATCTAGTTCCTCTGGTAGCCATTATTCTTATCTCTTTTCCTGAGAGTTCTTTTTTTTTTTAAGATTTATTTTTACTTATTTATGCATACAAGAACTGGGGGGCAGGCAAGAGGTGCAGAGGGTGAGAGGATTCACCAGAGACAGAGTGGGGAGCAGAACAAGCAGATCTATTGAAATACACTGTTGAGGGGAGTTGCAGGTGAGACAGGAGAGGTCTGCTGCGCCATGTAGGTCAGCTTTCTTCCAGGGGATTGAACTCATGCCTTCAGTGATAGTGCTGAGACTTAACCTCTGTGCCACCAGGGAGGCCCTCTTTTTCTTTTTTTTTTTTTTTAAGAATGCGCATATAAGTGAGACCATATATTGTCTTTCTCTGTCTGACTTATTTCATTTAGCATAATGCCTTCAAGTTCCATCCTTATTGTCAGAAATGCCAATTTCCTTCTTTATTGTGACTAAATAGTATTCCATTATATATATCTCACATTTTCTTTATTTATTCATCTTTTTTTAAGATTTATTTATTTATTTATTTATTTATTTATTTATTTATTTATTTATTTATTTATACAAGCACTGGGTACAGTCAGAAGCGTGGGAGGGTGAGAGAATTCACCAGAGCCAGAGGGGGGAGCAGAGCAGGCAGAAGGACCAAAGTACACTGCTGAGGGGAGCAGCGGGCCGCAGGAGAGGTCTGCGCACCATGTGGGACCCTCCTCCATGGCCGGGGAGCAGCCGGGGATCGAACCGGCGCTGTAGAGGCTGCGGGCAGCTTCGCAACCCAGCGCTCAATCGCTGCGCCACCGGGGAGGCCCACATTCAGTCTTATTAACAGTTATTGAAAGGCTTCCTTTTTGTTGGAAAAATGATTTGTTCCAGTGAACCTGACTTTACTAAATTTACACTCGGATAGTTTTGCTATCTTTCCCATAAGAGAGAGCTGCCCATTTCAGATCATCACATCCTTTGTCACCATAAGGAAGTGGTTCCTGTTTGTGACATGGCTTACCAATAGACGGAATCACTGCAGTTTACAGGTGCTGTGTTGTAAATTTCAAGCAATTTTTCTTGGAGCTTTCTGTCAGCATATGACCAAGACAGATGAACGTTTTATAGGAGTGTCCTCATCGAGTGACTTACTGAAGACAAGAGAGATGTGTTGTGAGTGAATCCATAAATTGCAGTCTCTCAAAGTTATTAAGAATGCTTTCTTACTGATTTTGATATGATTTTATGTAATGCTTTTCATTTTAAGGTTTCTTTTAACATGTCAGTTTCAACTTTAGGGAAAGAAAAATCATTACATGTTTCCCCACATTATTCAGCATAAAGTGATTGACTTGGCTCCAGCTTCCAACTGCAGGTTTTTTGCAGGTTATATGTCGTGAATATATTTTTTTTTCATTTTTAATATTTATTTCTCTAGTATTTTTAAAACATTTCATTAATCTTCCCCTTCTGTTTTTCTTAGTAAATTTTTTACATCAATTTTCATTTTTGTGCAATGTATGCATTTTCATCTTGGTTATAGTTCCTATACAATTCCCACCCCCCTTATTTTGACCGTAATCCCTCCTACCCGCCCCCTCCCAACTGCAGGTTTTTATGTCCACTCTTTAGTGGTATCTTTGCGCATTTTCTACAGGTATCCTGCATTCATCTTGCCCCAAACTAGATGCTCCTCTTTGATTTTCTGTTTTGGTTGGGTCATAATTTAAATAATTTAGAGCTACTTTTCTTCCCCACTCAATGACAGACCTGATAAGTTTTCCTAAATAGTTGTTGGATCTGCCCTTCTTCATTCCTCATGTTGAAATTGTAGGGGATACCTCTATTATATCACATCTCAATTATGTTATTAGTTTCATTGGTTTTCCTGCCTTTTTTTTTTTTTTTTTGCATATCCAGCATTATACCTTTCACCTTGCTATTCCCATCCCCTTGCCAAAATATTAACCCGCTGTTGGTAATTAATAACCCTTGATAACAGTGGCAATCATATACTTTCATTGATTCCACTTGCTCTCATTTTTCAATGAATGGCTTCATAGGGTTTTGTCATTAATGTTTCTAAACAATGCTATGAGGTGGGTATTCTTCATTACAGAACAGAAACTAAAGTTCAAAGAAGGTAAGTCATTCATAATGTTTATAGTTATTAAATAATGGAACTAAAATTAGAATCCAAGCCAGTCTGCTTTCAGACATTTAACACCGTTCTGTTTTTTCCCAGAAATTAAGTCCTAAGTCTTAGCGTGGTATGAGAATCGTCTATGATCCAATCCCTCTTTACTTTACTTCCCACTGTGTACACTTAGCAGGCCAAACCAGACTAATAGCTTCAAACTTTATTCATGCTATTTCTGAACAGCCTTAGAGCCTCTTCCTGTTTTTCCTCCCACTCCTTTAAATCTTAGTGTAAAATGACTTCTTGCATTATTTCCCAGGTTAGTTTAGGTACCTTTGCCTGTGTGTTCTATGACTGTCCTTTGCATATTTCTTTCTTTGCTCCTATCATGTCATGTGAAAATTATCTGTTTAACAGTCTCTCATGTCTTCTAGTAATTACTTCTAAAGGTGGTGGTCAAATTGTTCAATTCTTAGCACCTAAGATGGTGTTTCGGACAGAGGAGATGTTAATAAGCATTTGTTGAACCCAAAACTGAATTGCTGTTATCAGATTAGCCTTATAATGACCTCACGTTTCTTTCTGGGATTAGCCCAGCCTGAGAGTATTACTCTGATATATTACTAATGAGTCTGACTGTTAATAGGCACTTTTGCTATACTGCATATTCTAAGCATTGGTGAAAATGTGGCCCCCAAAAATGGTGTGTGTGAAGTTAAACCCAAAAAAATTTTGAATGTTGAAAACATAGGCTAATTTCATAGCTCACATTTCTTCTACCATTTTTGGTGCTCACATATGCTGTTCCCTTTGCCCAAAATACTTTTCTCTCCCCATATACCTTCTATATCCTATGAAGATTTGTCACAAAATACATATTCAGTAATTATTAAATAAATGAATTAATATAAACTAAACTTATTATAAGAAATAAATTTTTCCCCCTTTATACTAGGGCAGTTATTGTAGACAAACTTTTATCATTTTTATTTTGTTTTCCTGAAGAAACTGCTAATTTTTTTTTTTCAGTCTTTGATGTCCTTTTATGTTCCTTTCATCTCATAATCTTTACAATTCCTTTGCATAGAGAATCAATGGGAGAAATGTTTGTTTCAATTAGGGACAGTTACACACTATTCACCTTGATATAAAATACCAGAGGGTAATTAATTCTATATATGGAGTGACTGGCACTGACTCACCAGTGCTTTGGTTTTGTTAACATAAATTAGTACATTTATTTCCAGTAGCCTATTTTGCTGTGACTGCTGCTACTAATTAACAGCTGTTATTTAATTTATTCACAACTTTATGCATTACCCATTATAAGTGTTAATTGTGGTATTGCTGCTGTTGAGTTATTCCCTAGTACAGTAAGCCCATGATTCATGGCAAAACAAATCATATTGTCTTGTTTATTAGAAATTATGGGGTTTATTTATGAGTAGACATTATATCGAATTTTAAACCAAATTCAGATGAAGGCTTATAAGAACTAACTTTGATTAATATCATCTTAATTGCTTTAATGTTTAAATCAGAGTATACTGTTCTTAATACATACTGTTGGATTTGGGGTTTCTTTATTCTGCTTTACAGTCTTTACAATCTCACTGTCCTGGTTCAGTTCCCCAAGGCTTATCTGTGGTATTCATAGCTTTTGGGTGCGTTTTCACTTACTTTTCTAACAATTGTTATCCATAGTGGGTACCTCTTAGCAGCAGTTTGAGTGTGTCATCCAGTCCCCCCCCCTTCCCACCCCAGTTTTTCAGAGTGTCAGGAATTGCACTGGTGATAGTTTTATCCATCACGATCAGTGTTGGGTGTTTTGGTTTCTTCACAGAATGCTAGGTTCCTGGTGTTCCTGCCTTGGGCAAAATTCTGACTCATTGTTTAAGCCAGGCTTTCCCTACATACACCAGCATAACAACCCCTTTACCTCAGGCTACTTCACATCCCAGGTTGATCACTACTACTTAGAGAAAGCAGCATGGTGGAGTAGAAAAGAGCCAGGGCATGGGGAGTGTCTTAGTTTCCTTGTTAAATTTGGGGTTAGACTGTGCTCCCAAACCCTTTCCACTATAGAACTCTATCGGAACTAGCCATTCCTACTCACCTTGCTTTGGTTGGAGGCCCAGATGTCAGTTCTTGGCCCTATACTAGCGCATATGAACTCAAAGGAGTTAAATGTGGACTGAAGCCCAGGCAGTAGTGTGAACCCCAGCCATAGTGTGTTCCTGTAAAGCCAGTGGTCTCAGAATCTGTGAGGACTTCTAATTTGCTCAGATCATGACTCCCACAGCTCCCCAAACCAGGAAGTGACATTCTGGGGATTTGAACCCAATTCCAAATTTGTATTCTTTTTGCTGTATCCCTTGCCTCTTCCACAGAGTAAAGATCATAACAGTGATGATTTTTATCATTTCTAGTGGACAAGAGATATAGCTGGTTAAGAGCAAAATTTATACTAGGCGCATAAAAACCTCTGACAACTATCACATGAATTTATTTCTTACTTTTTTTCAGCTGTCCTTGAACAGTCATAAACATGTAAATAACAGGTCCAGTGTAAAGAATAATTATAGATCAAACTCATGTGAACAACACCCAGGTTAACAGCATTGCTGGCACCCCAGGAACTGTACCCCCTCCAAGCCCACAACCCTCTGCCTTTCCCCTAGAGATAACCATCACTTAGCTTTTAAGATAAACCTTTTCTTGTTTTTCTTGGCAGTTTAAACACCATGCTATAGTCCTCTGTTGTGTTTTGCTTCTTTTGTTCAGTGTTATCTCTTTTGTTCAGTTTTGTTCAGTATAGCTTGAGTTCATTCACTTTCATCACTTTGACTCTTGTACAAATAGACCACAATTTATTTGTTCTTCCTACTGTTAATATTTGGGTTGATTCCAGTTTAGGAATTGGATTATCCTGAACATTTTTGTCCATGTCTCCTTGTACACATATGTAGGAGTTTCTCCAGGCGTATATCTAAGAATGGAGTTGCTGGTCTTAGGCTATGCATTTCTTAAGCCAACTTGGATTATAAAATTTAATTTTCACTGGAGCTTTAAATGGAAATTTAATTTTCATGGGAGCTTTTACATTTTTTAATGGAAATTTAAAGTCTTGTTTTCATCTAAAAAGGTTTGTCTTTCCTATAGAAAAATGCAAGAATGGCAGCAGAAAAGCATTATTTTAATACCCTCAAGGCACTAGGAATATCTGATGAGTTTGTTTCAAAGAAGGGCCAAAGTGGAAAAACATTTGAGTACTTCAGCAATCAAGAGAAGAAAAGTTTCACTGGAGATAAAGAAAGGTAACTTATATAAGATGTCTGAATGGTTTACCTTTGAAAAAACTCTTACCTGCAGAAAAGCATAAAATTCTGTTCTATATTTTTAAAAGATTTTACCTAGTGGAATACACGTGAACTATTAAAAACATGTTGATGTTTTAACACGTTTGACACATTCAAAATACTACATGGTGAAGTGTATATTTTTTAAACAGAATACTATAATTGTCTAACTGACATAAATAATTAAAATAATAACATGTTCTCAAATGAAGTTTAAAGAGTGAAGTTTTGAAATAGGTTAGTTCTTAGAGGAATACTTATGTTCCCAATTGTCATGTTTACAGTTTTCTTATTAAATTGGAGGTCATACACTTGAAGATGACTGCATGATGGCATACATTGCAAAGAGGTTTACCTTTAAATTAACTAATTTTTCCTTTGAAAGATTGATGACTTTCTTCCTCTAGCTTGAATGATGAAGAAAAAATCAAAGAAACAGAGAATGGGGAAGAAAATTATCTTTCTGATACCAACAGCCAAGATTCTTGTAAGGAAAAAGATGAAGCTGATGAAGAAAGTGGAGAAGAGAAATTGGTTGAAAAATAAAATGGTATCAGCAGGATCCTCCTCTGTGACAAGGGCTTTGCATCATCATGTATTAGCAGCTGCACTTGAGTGTTAACATGATGGAAACATTCTCCAATCTGTGTGGGATTCTTGAGCAAAGTCATTGGCAATCTGAAAGGGTCAAATCCAACTGATGGGTCATTTGGTCAGTTAGAGGAAGACTTTGCCTATTCTGTTTTTGAAATTGCTATGTGTGGTCTGTTGGCAACTTTGAGCTTGTGTTTTTAAAATGCTTTTGAGAATCACAACTGATTACAAACTGATTAGTTATAAAAATATACATTATTTAATTACTTTTGATGGGGAAAATTGGCTTAGCATCAAGAGCAAGAAAGGTGTTGGCCTTTGGTGATTTGAAAAAAATTTTTGGAAACTATTAATAAATATTTTTAAAGTGCACTATCTGCCTATCCTTTTTCTCTACAGCTCACAAAATGAATCCTCAAGCTTGTTTTACTAGATAAAGTTTCTTATGTGAGCCATTTTTTAAAAAGTAATAAAATACAGGAAAAAAAAAAGATTCCATTACATTTACATTCATTTCTGCACTGATAGTTCACTATTAAATTATCTATGCCATCTTACCTTTCCCCTTTATCCCTTGTTTTATTCAAAATTATTTTTGATATGTACAGTAATAGAAAAATTTTCATACTAATTTTTAACCCTGTATATTATGATAGCTAGATATAATTATAGCATCTGAGTTATGATTGCATGTAAATATCAACCCTGTTTTATATATGATGAAATTATGGATAATATCTTGCCTAAGGCCAGTATCCAAATTAATTTAGGTTTAATTCTTTATTACTGGACCCAGTTGTACTCAACTTTTACATATTATTGCAGATTTACTTTGTTTCTCTGTGCATGAAGTTAATTTGATTTCATGAATCATTTTTCCTCTTTAAGCATATTTTTGTTTAAAAAGTCAAACCAGTCATAAAGATATGATAGTGTAAGACATTTTTCTTTCTAAAATGGTTTAACCTCCTTTAAAGCGGGTGAACTAATAAAGGTTTATATAATAGCAGTGTTTCCCAACTGGCAGTTTATACTCTAAATAAAGGAAGAAGACAATTTATCTCAATCAAGGGCAAATGTTTACTTATAATTCCTTTCCTACAGCTTGTGTTAAACTATTTGTCACTATCAATAGATTGTAGACTCATTGAGTCTACAGTTTAAAAAGTCATCTTTGTATTCCTTTGATATTTCACAGAAGATTATGCATATGGTAGGAACTTAATAAAGATTTGGATGAGAAAGTAGATGAATATGGTTTTTAATTATAATTGCTTCAAAATGAGTACCATGGGATTAAAAACATTTCCCTTCCAATATATTGAGACCCTGTGTAATACGGTCCACAAATTGTAATATTTGTCGCGTGACTTGGCTCCAAGGATTTCCTCCATATTCTCTCCCTTGTCGTTACAGAGAGCATGGGACTTGACTTCAGGGCCAATCTTCAGTTTTCTTTAAAAATGGGAATGGTACCTAACTTAGGTGGCTGTAGAAAGGAGTGGATGAAATCACGTGTGGAAAAGTTCTTTGTAAACTATCTGATTCAAATGACAATGTCAGAGGAAAGAATTTTCCTGAAGAAACAAACTTTTATTTTGATAGAAATAATGTTTGACCACTTTTTAAAAACCAGTGCATAGTAAATAGTGCCAGACATTTAAAAACACTGGCAGTTTCAAATCATTCAATGCACATTGCTATTTTTTTTTAAAGAAAATCTTCAAATTAACAGCCGAATTATGGCATTACACAATGATGGTCAAACTTTAAAGCAAATGTTTTTAGGTAGTAGGTAACTGAAAACTTTGTGTCTTTGTATCAGCTGAATTTGCTCCATAGTTATTCTTTTCACTTATAGGATTGTTGCACCCGATTAGCCTGTTATCAAGAAGGTTCTTTATTCTTTAAAAAAGGAAATATTAGTGGGTACTTAGTGACTTCACACTTATTTCTTCAGAAGAAATTATCTGAGTATTGGGAGATGAATATATATGTATCATACATATACATACATAGACTTCCCCAATGAATATATATTCAAATTTATAGGATTATATATACTGAATATATATTCATGTACTATATAGTATATCTACTCAAAATATTCCTAAGTGTTTATACACACCTGTATATGTATGTATGTATATCAGAAAATTGTCAAAGTTATTCTTTTACTCCATATTTTTAGTCTATTTATTTTAAAGAAAATAAGCATGCCTCTAAGGATATCACATTTTTCTCATGGACACTATTTCTCAAGTTAATTCTAATAATTTGAGAGTAGCAAAGATTTCAACATTAGAACCTAAGCAGCAAAGATCATAGCCATAACATATTGCCTTTAAAAAAAAAAAAAACAACTTAGACCCTTCTCAATCATCATGTGTTTGTGTGTATATTTGTGTTTTTAGGGATTGTTTTAGAAGGAAAAAGTTCCTATGGAATCAAGTTTTTGTCAATGAAGTTTGTCAGTATATTGTAATCTAAATAAAATGGTTGCTTTGTCCTAAATCCTTTAGCAGTCTCATTTCTTGTTGCTTCTCAGGTGTGCTGATGTGGCTTGTGGTTCACTGATTTATCTGTATCTTCGTTTAGAAAAGTTATAAGAACAATGTCTTATTTTTTTTAAGATTTATTTATTTATGCATACAAGAGCTGAGGTGCAGGCCAGAGATGTGGGGAGTGAGAAGATTCACCAGAGACAGAGCGCGGAACAGAACAGCAGATTGACCGAAGTACACTGCTGAAGGGAGCAGCGGGTGAGTCAGGAGAGGTCTGCTGCGCCATGTGGGTTGCTCCCTGGCTGGCTGGGGATTGAACTTGTGCTGCAGAGGCTGCAGATTGTTTCATAGTGCGGTGCTAATCCCTTGCGCCACCAGGGAGGCCCCTATAGGAACAATTTCTATAGCAATTTTCTGTTGGTGTTTCTACAGTGGAGAAACAAAATCAGGGGCCCAGTATACTGTATGTTTTAAAAATCTCCTTGTAGTAAAATTCAATATTTGGAATCTGTTGCCAACTATTATAAATTGAATAAATGAAAAACAAAAGTATGATTTGTAAGATCTCCTAGTTGTGAATGCAGATATGCTAATATTGAGAATACTTATTCTAGCTGTTTTTTTCCTTTTAATAACAACTAAGACTGGTCTTTGGAAAAGTCTAAGTTTCAAGAGAAGTACATAAAAATTTGAGAAGAAAAATAATAGGTTATATAACTATCAAAAGAAAAGGGATAATATGTATGCTTATATCTAACTGAAGAAGTAGTAAAGAAATGGTAATAGAATTTGCCTTTGGAAACAAAACCTGGGAGTGTAGGGAGTAGGAGGCTTAGTTTTGGGGTTTTTTTCCCTTACTTTTTAATATGTATATTAAAGAAAAATATAAATGAGGCTTTACTCCTACTGGAAGCTGTTTTCTAATGAATGAGTTATAGTATCCTGATATCTAGAAAAGGAAAAAAACACGGTTTTTCTTGATATTAAAAATTATTATGAAATATTTTGACATACACAAAAAGAAAGAGAATGGTAATGGGCCCAAGTACCCATCACCCAATGTCAATAATTATCAACTTTCAATTCAGTTTATTTCCTATATACAGTAAGTAGTAAGTCCTTACCATTTGTTAATAGGTTCTTGGGAACAGAATTTTTTTTTTGAAACTGAATTTTAATCTAAATGAAAGATGACAACAAAACCAGGTCCATGGAGAGATAGCATCAGTTGAGATTCTTTTTTCTTGTTAAGGTTATAACAAAACAATCACATTGAGGAAACTACATTTGAGGACCTGCAACACTCCTATCCACTGCTTCCTAATTTGAAGCAAATCATAGACTTATTTCATGTGTAAATATTTGAGTATATATCTTTAAAATATAAAAACTGTCCTTTATTTCATAGCCAACACACAAACAGAATAATAATACCAGTTATCTAGTAATTTTCACAGTTAACTTATTGTCTTACATATTTTATAGTTTGAGTTAACATCCAGACATTGCAATTAGTAGGTCTCTTAATACTCTTCAATATTTCTCTCTCCTCTCTAACTCTCTCTCTCTCTGCAAATTTTTTGTTGTAGAAAACAGATCCTTTGCTCTGAGGGTATCCCATCTGAATTTTTTCACTTAATGCGTTCCTCTGTTCTCTGTATTTTTTGCAAGTTAGTAGTTAGATTAGTAGTGTGCTTGATGAGATTCATATCTGATGTTTTTGCTAAGAATAAGTATTCTTTTTTTTTTATACAATTTTTTTTAAATATCTTTTTTTTTTTTTTTTTAAGATTTATTTATTTATACAAGCACTGGGTACAGTCAGAAGCACGGGAGGGCGAGAGAATTCACCAGAGCCAGAGCGGGGAGCAGAGCAGGCAGAAGGACCGAGGTACACTGCTGAGGGGAGCAGCGGGCAACAGGAGAGGTCTGCGTGGCATGTGGGACCCTCCTCCGGTGGCCGGGGAGCAGCCAGGGATCGAACTGGCACTGCAGAGGCTGCGGGCAGCTTCACAGCCAGCGCTCTACCGCTGCGCCACCGGGGAGGCCCAGAATAAGTATTCTTATGTGGAGAGGTGTATTTCTATCAGCAAGTACATGATGTCCAATGATCTTCCTTTTGTGATGTTACCTGCTATTCATGATTATTGCTACAATCCCCCTATGCTGGCCTTGCCACTCATTTTAGTTATCTAAAGCTCTCGTCTCTAATAGAGTCCTTAGAAAGGGCTCATGGGGAGAATGTTTCCTGATTTTTAAAAAAATAATCATCACTTGAGCCTCCCTGGTGACACAGGCGGCTGAGCACAGTGCTGTGAAGCTGTCCGCAGCCTCTGCAGTGGGGGTTTGATACCCACCAGCTGCTGAGATGCACACATGGTGCAGCAGACCTCTCCTGTTTCGCCTGCTGCTCCCCTCAGCAGTGTATTTCAGACAATCTGCCTGTTCTGTTCCCTGCTCTGTCTCTGGTGAATCCTCTCACCCTTCTGCACATCTGGGCTATACTCCGGCTCTTGTATAAATAAATCAATCTTAAATAATCACTTATAGAATATTAGTAAGTATTCCCTGATTTCTTACATTTTTTTGTTCGTCTATGGTCTTCATATTTAAAGATCAGTTTGGCTGTATATAAAATGCTTTCCTCACATTAAGTATCTTAAATAAATGTCTGTTGTCTTCTGGTGTAAAGTATTGTTAACAGATAGCTGTTAGTAATCTGTTTTTTTGTTTTTTGTTTTATTAAGTATCTTGGTCTTTTTGCCTGGTAGCCAATTTTTTTTTGTTGTTCAATAATTTTACTAGACTCTAAATATTGGCCTTCTGGGCCAAATTTCCCAGGAGCATAGCGTGCCTTTTCAGTACTTAGTTTCAGTATTAGGTTTTCTTTTGTCTCAAATAAGTTTCTTTGGATTATTTTTTTTTAAAAGATTTATTGATGTATATAAGAACTGGGGTATAGGCCAGCAGTTGAGGGGTGAGAGGATTCACCAGAGACAGAGGGGAGAACAGAACAGGCAGATCTACTGAAATACACTCTTAAGGGGAGCAGTGGGGTGAGACAGGAGAGGTCTGCTGCACCATGTGGGTTAGCTCCCTGGCTGGGGATTGAACTCATACTGCAGTGGCTGCCAATAGCTTCATAGTGCTGAGATTTAACCCCTGGTGCCACCAGGGAGGCCCTGTTTCTGAATTTCTACATGCTGCATGTATCTGTGATTTTGAACATGTGCACTGAGGTTAATCTTTTAGTTTTTTTTTGAAGAATGCTCACTTTTTCCAAGAAAAAGCATGCTCCTTGCATTCATCTACAGGAAAGAAATACAAAACAAGAAATTAACATTATAAAGAAAAACAGTATTTTTAAAAAAGATTTATTTATTTATACAAGAACTGGGGTACAAGCCAGAAGCATGGGAGGGTGAGAGGATTCACCAGAGACAGAGCGGGGAACAGAACAGGCAGACTGACCAAGTACACTGCTGAGGGAAGCAGCAGGCGAGACAGGAGAGGTCTGCTTCGCCATGTGGGATTCTCACCGGCCCGCCGGGATCTAACTGGCGCTGCAGAGGCTGTGGACAGCTTCATGGCTCAGGCGGTTGAGTGCAGTGCTATGAAGCTGTCCGCAGCCTCTGCAGCGTCAGTTCGATCCCGGCCGGCGGTGAGAATCCCACATGGCGAAGCAGACCTCTCCTGTCTCGCCTGCTGCTTCCCTCAGCAGTGTACTTGGTCAGTCTGCCTGTTCTGTTCCCCGCTCTGTCTCTGGTGAATCCTCTCACCCTCCCACGCATCTGGCCTGTACCCCAGTTCTTGTATAAATAAATAAATCTTTAAAAAAAAAAATAGAGAAAGAAAAACAATAAATGGAGTCTCGGGCCTCCCCGGTGGCACAGCGGTTGAGCACTGGGTTGCGAAGCTGCCCACAGACTCTACAGCGCCGATTCGATCCCCGGCTGCTCCCCGGCCACCGGAGGAGGGTCCCACATGGCGCGCAGACCTCTCCTGCCACCCGCTGCTCCCCTCAGCAGTATACCTCGGTCATTCTGCCTGCTCTGCTCCCTGCTCTGGCTCTGGTGAATTCTCTCACCCTCTTGCGCTTCTGACTGTACCCAGTGCTTGTATAAATAAAAAACAAACAAACAAATAAATAAATAAATCTTTTTTTTTTTTAAATTTTTTTTTTTTTTAATAGAGGCATGCTTTATTTATTTATTTATTTGTTTGTTTGTTTTGTTTATACATGCACTGGGTACAGTCAGAAGCGCGGGAGGGTGAGAGAATTCACCAGAGCCAGAGCGGGGAGCAGAGCAGGCAGAAGGGCCGAAGTACACTGCTGAGGGGAGCAGCGGGCGGCAGGAGAGGTCTGCGCGCCATGTGGGACCCTCCTCCAGTGGCCGGGGAGCAGCCGGGGATCGAACCGGCGCCACAGAGGCTGCGGGCAGCTTCGCAACCCAGTGCTCAACCGCTGCGCCACCGGGGAGGCCCTAAATAAATAAATCTTAAAAAAAAAAAACAATAAATGGAGTCTCTATCAAATAAGTAATATTCCTGTTTACGTGAATTATTAATTAAAAGAGACATGGTACATTTTATTATGTAAATAAACTCTCTTGTGGCACCATAATAATGTGTTGGTGGACTGCATAAACTACAGTCTCCTTTGTCAACCTAAAAAGTTATGTTCTAGAAAACCATGCAAAGATTCTCTGTGGCTGAGGAACTGAAGCACTTAGTGAAACATAGAGACAGAAATGATCCAAAATAGGACAGGAGGAAGATTAACAAAGTCAGTACATCTTATTTTTATAGCGTTATTGAGATATGAGGGGCATATAATATATGAGTTTAAGATATGCAATATTTTGATTTGATACACTTAAATCCTGCAAAATGATTGCCATTATTAGCTAATACCTCCATCAAGTCACATAATTACCATTTCTTTTTTAAAAAGATTTATTTATTGGAAGTAGTCTTCCTGCCCACCTGTGCCTATACAG